GCGACCGCGACCGCGACGACGACCACAACCACCACCAGGACCCAGAATCAGCACCCGGACCAGTGCCACTCCACCACTCTACCACTCCACTACCACTACTTCCTACTCCCACTCCCACTCCTACTCCTGCTCCTACTCCTACTCCTACTCCTACTCCTACTCCTACTCCTACTACTACTACTACTACTACTACTACTACGGCTGCTTCTCCTACTACTTCTTCTTCTGCTGCTACTACTTCTACTTTTCGTAATCTTCGTGCTACTCTCGTACTACGCGTGCTCTCCCCCACTCCTCCTACTCCTACCACTCCGTTGTCACATCCCTCTGGCGGGCCTGCAGCTGCCGATAGGCATTGCGATCCTCCACCCGCGCCAGGCAAGCGAGCCGGACTAGCACCAAGTCTTCCGGGGTGAGGAAGGGGACGTTCAAAACATGGGCCCGGGCCTCTAGGTATCCTTAACATCGGCGAGCACTGGGCATGGAAACGTGTCTTAATCCATAGAGCGGAGTTGTTGATTCGACATGCTGGAGGCCTTTGCTCCTCCTACTGAAAAATCGGTCCATACCTGCTCTTCGGCAGCCGAGCATCCCCAGTAGATGCCACAAGCAGAGGCCTCCAGCAGGTACTTGAGCATACGGACGCCTTCGATGACGTTTTCTGCGCGCCGTGCGGTCATGAACTTGGAGCCTCGCCCAGCATTGAGGCCGCTCATAAACCCAAGTAGGAAGAGGATATAGAAACGAAGCACCTCAGAGCCATCCCGTTTCACATTCTCCTGCAACTGGAACACATTGGCGGGCACGTTCTCGCCCTGCAACATCTGCGCCAAGTTGAAGATGGCATGCAGGTTTAGGGCACCTTTGGCATACATCAATCCTTCATCGCTCAAGGCCTGCACAGAGGGCACGACGTTCTTGAAATTGTCGATCAGGTGGAGCACAACGCTTTCCGGACTTCTCTCACCCTTGGGAATTTGGTTTGTTACGCTCTTCGACTTCCCGAGGGATCGGATGGCAAGGAGAACCAGCACTGCGTGGATCTTGTCCTGGCTCGCAAAACAAAACAACTCTTGGTACATGCGCATGATGCCGCCTATGTTTGTGTGGTCTACTGCTTATGAACACCATACCGCAACATATGTTGCCGTTTGAATCCGTACCTTCGTGCTTTCGACAACGCCGACCCCATGTTGTATATACTGTATGTTTTGCATGACATAAGTCTTCATTGCTAACCTGCATCTTGAAAAGATGACAGTAGAGTAGTAGAGTCTTGTTGTAGTATCACTGTCTAAACCAAAGTACATGGGCTCACATTCCCGAAAAAGAACGGTTTCTAGCGAAATTTCAGCTCTTGGACCTTGGTGGGCCGGATCCAACTGACAATCTCCTGTAGCTGGTCCCACTGGGACCTCGGTGCTCGTTTTGGGGGTTGTAACAACAGGTCCCCAGAGTCTACGCCAGGCTCTTATGGTTCGCCTCGCATGCGCCAATTAGGGCCCTGACTGAACCCTGGAACAAACGACACTAAGGCTGGGGCGTAAGAAGCTTGGCAGATGGCGGCTGTACATTGGTGAAGATGTCATATCGATTGTGCACCAGAGCCAAAGTACCTGGAGATGTCAGGGCATGGGTGGCCTCCTGCATATATCAACTACAAAGAGAGACATATACATATACAGACAGCAGACAGACACAAAGAGATACAGCGATGAGAATGAGAGAAAGAGAGAGAGAGAGATGGATAGATAGACAGCTCACTGGATCGAGAGATGGATACGTGAATATGTGGATGGATGGATGGACGGACGGATACATGGATGGATGGAAATATGGACAGATAGATAGATAAGTAGGTGGATGGATGGACAGTCAAGTAGAAAGAGAAGTGGGTGCATAGATAGACAGATCGACAGATCAACAGATAGACTCAGACAGACAGACAGACAGACAGACAGACAGACAGACAGTTAAACGGACAGATGGTCAATTGGAACGCATCCCCATGTATGTTTATGAGAATATATATATATATAGATGTTTAAACATGCATGCAGAGTTTGCCAATTTATCAACGATAAAGCACATAAGCCAACACATGATCACATGTACACAGACACACACACACACACACACACACACATGGACATACAGACTTGTATGTATGTATATATATATATAGATATATATATATATATATCTTCGAGCGAGCGAGAGAGAGAGAGAGAGAGAGAGAGAAAGCGAGACAGAGAGAGAGAGAGAGATTTCCCAACGATCATAATAGAATTGTCCATGGCTAGGGCATGCAGACTTGGCCGGGCGGCAGATGCAAGAGGACTCGGCGC